GGGTATGGCCGCTGGCACAGCAAGGAGACCCTGCGGGAGCCGCGGCCACAGAGCCTCAGCGCGCGCTACGTGGTGTTCCCCAGCGGCAGCCTGGAGGAGCGGGGCCAGGCGGGGCCGCCCCGCCCCCAGCCCCGGGGCCGCACTTACTTTCCTGCAGGCCTGTGGTGGCAGAGGGACCGCGCCCGCCGTGCCCGCCCCGCCCTAACGCTGAGCCCTGCAGCCAGATGAGCCTTCCTCTAAACTTGTTTTGTTGTCAAATAAAAGGCAGAGCTGCTTCATTAATTGGTCTGGCTAATTATATCTTTCCAAACGCATGAAGTGCCTGTTGCTCAGGCTATGTTGCCAACGCGTCTGTGTCCCCCTTGTTCTTGCAGCCTGCTAAACTGCACGGGCTCTTTCTGCAGTATCATTTCTAAAGGCAGGCAATATTTTAATTTAAATTCTATTGAATAATAATAACATTGTAAAAAATTCAGAAGAAGATCTTGGGAATGCCTATCTGCTTTTCCGTTGCTTTATTTTTTTAGATAATGTAAGTAGTACGTAAGCAACATTTGGGTTTCACTTTAGTAAGTAAAAGCACAGTGGCTTTAAATAGCTTAAGGGCTTGTTCTGTTTCTGAGTCTGCTACTGATTTAATTTGTGGCAGTTGAATTTGTTACGACTTTGGGCAAGTTGTAACACAGGTTCTAAAAAGAGGCCTCCTGTTTAAGGGGTCTGATTTTAGGCATTTGGGGCTGGATTTTAATGAGCTTCCAGGTATTCACAGCTCCTGTGAGTTACAGTGCAAGAAGGAGTGAGTGCTGCAAAACAGGCTGAAGGTGTCTTAGTCTAAGTCATTCAGGCCTTTAAAATTGACCTTGACACTTTGGGGGTTCTTTTTTAATGCATATGATCATTCTGAATGAAAATATGATTGCAGAAGTGTTTTGAGAGCCTAACATGAGTGGTATAAATGTATGGCTTGTAATTTTTGTAATATGTATTTACATATTACTGTAATATTTATATCCTTTGGTGAAAAGGCAATGTTAAATCAGAATAAATCAGCTCTTATGTGATGTAGGGAATGATGTCAGTTTTGAACTGAGGCAGGTTGAGTCCTGTTGCAGCTCTGCTGCTGGAGGATTATCCCTACAGGTCCACATCATGGGGCTTGGGATTCTACTGAGCCTGTTTGAGTTGGGTGCCTGGTTGCCCAGGGATGGTACCTCTGAAAGACAGACCAGCCTGTCTAAAATGAGTCAGCCCCCCATGCGCTTCTCTTCTGTTCTGAAGAAGACTCCCGGAGGAACTTGTCTCCCTGCTTGGGTGACTCAGCTATCTGGAGGGTATGAATTGAAAACTTAACCCATGAGTGATGAAGATACTGAAATACTATTGCTCCAGGCTAAAGTTGGAGATACTGTTAAATGAAGTCAGGGCAGGAGCATATCAGCCTGTGTTCCTCATCTGTAAAACAAAGCTTACCTGTTTCATCCCTAGCTTGGCATATGGGCCATAATATTAATATTGGAAATTAATTTAGCTTTCTTTACGGATACGCCCCTAGAATCAATTATGGTTTCATTAAGTTTATTTCCTTGATAGGTTTTAAAAATGTATCAGAATTAACAAGTGAGGAAAAAAGAATGAAAAAAAACCAAACTCAGTTATGGAGAAAACATTATTGTTTAGCAGCTGAGCTGCCTATGTCTGTACCTGGCAAAATTTATTCCTGCCCTTCAGTGTTCATGAAAAAAAGCAAACAAAAATTAGCTTTGAACTCACAAGTAAAGTAAAATAGATGGCCTCAAAAAACCTTTCTATCTGCTGAGTAATTCTCCTTAGGGAAGCCTCCATGTAGCACAGCAAATTCAGCTGTTGTCATTACCATCTCAGGAGGGACTGTGAATAGCAGCAATGCATGGTCATGGATATTAGATTTGGGTGAAATGGCAGAAAGCGTGGGATGACTTGGAAACACCTGTGTGCACTCATCAGTGCACTCAGTCACACTTCAGCAGCTGTGAAATAATTCCCATAGTTTTAAAGCAGAAGGCACAGTATTTTGACTAATGAGGGTCACCCAGGGATCTTGACTTTTCTGGCATAAAGAAATAGTTAAGGAGTGTGTTTGCTTTCAGTGTGTTGGCACTCAGTTCTATGAGCTGCAGCTATCACAGTGTCCCTAGATAATGTGTACAGATAGCCTGTTATTCATGCCTTCAGAAACATACCAGTGCTCAAAACTTGATAATTTAAGGAAGAGCTGAAAGTTTGATCTTCATTAAATGCCAGTTGCTTATATAAAATAATCACAGAAACATAGAATGGTTTGGATTGGAAGGGACTTTAAAGATCATCTGGTTCCAACTCTCCTGCATAGGCAGAGACAATAGTTATATTATTAGTTTGTAATGTAACAGAAAAAAACAACTTACCAGTTTACCATGCACCAACACTGGGATATTTCTGCCACTGTCCAACAAGCTGACCTTGCTCAACATGTTTTCCTATGTAGATGTTTGATTATGGTAGAATATTGCAGTATATATCTTTGCCTTCAGAAGGGTCAGGAGAATCATTGTTGTACTGAGACCATGGTATCAGCAGATACCAAGATGAAAGCAACAAAGAGCATATAAGGTTTAGCTAGCCAGACAGATGCCAAACTACCCCCAGGATGGGAGGTGATAATAAAATGCCTTCTTCACCTTCTGTTTTTGTTCCCCAGTTGCCTCTTTCCTTACTACAGAGCTGAAGTACTGCATGCTTTGGATAAAGCATAACCACTTAAATTGAAATAAGATGAGCAAAGAGAATGGTGTCACTGTGATCAAATAGCAGTTGCCTAATCTTGTTGATTGCAGAGTAAGCCAAGCCATTGGAGTTAACCTCTGGAACTAAAGCTGATGCTTATTTAACATTTATTATGGTTTGAAAGTCATATTATGTGGAAACTCTCCAATTGAAGTTTGTCAAACAGCTGTACCCTCTAGCTGCACAACAGAACAGCTGAATGTCTATCAAGTACTTCTGCTGAGTAAACTAGTGAAGCTTTCTAATATTAGCTACCTGCTGAAGTTATTAGTTAAAAGATGCAGATCAATGCTTTCTTCCCAAACATCTTCTCTTTCCTGTGTCTCTATTCTGCGATTCTATCTGGGCACCAAGCTGAGGGCCCACCTTCTATGCCACTTGGCTAGTTCTTGTGTAGCTGCAGGTGTCATCGTGTTATTGCAGATCATTTTTTATAAAAGCTTTCTCTTCATGCCACTTTAGGCTTATGCTCAGAAGTATGAGCTAGATCCATGGGAAAAGAGAAGGGCTTGCTTTGCATTTTTGTGTTTCTATCTCTTTCCTTTATGGAACAGGCATGAAGAGAACAGGCATATACTTTACCAGTGATGTATAAAGTAGGGTAGATCTCCTGCTGACTCAATATTCCACCAGAAAGCTGTTGCTGTCCTCTCTTTAGAAACAATCAGAATTTCGTAGAGAAAAGTGTGCTTGATGCTTTTGGTTGTGGAAAGCAGCTTGTGAAATGCTGCAGGGCCAATGCTACTGATGAGTTTTTGCAGAGCACCATGTGAGCAGATTTGTGGTGCCTCACTGAGTCTTTGTTGCAAATACTGGCTTTGATTGTGGTCTCACCTTCACTGCCATGAATTGCCTTTGTTGAAATGTAGAGTATAAATCTGTTGTTAAATTAGAGAAGAAAAGCCAGAATCAAGACTTCACCTTTTCAAAAGGTAGAGAACTTTTTATTTTTTTTTACTTCTGTCCTAAGTTATATTGTTGTGGATTTTCTTATCTCTTCCTACTTGTAGTGCCAAGAATTTGCAATCCCCCCCCATCCGAGAGAAATGTATTATATGCTTTTAGTTTCCCAGATGTTTTCAATGCAATGAATCTTTCTCTGCCAATCAACTTCAACATCCTTTGTCAACCCTGGGATGCTTATAACTGAAGGTCAGCAGATGTTGCCATGGATTTTTTTACTTCATGAGCTAAAGAGGAATTAAATTTGGTGACTGTAGCTGAGATTCTCAGTGATTTACAGTATTAACTAGACAGTGAAGTTTTTCTGTCGAAATAATAACTCCATAGGGACTGAGTTAATTGCTGTCTTTCAGTGCAATAACGCAGTGTGATCCCTTTTCAATTCTGCATTATGGTAATTGTGAGTCCTGGCACTAATCAGTGTTATCTTTTCATCTAGCATTTGGAGCTCTGTTAGTGGTTATTTGTCTAGAATAATAACATTTCTTGACACTAATTCATAAGGAAATTATTATTTTAAAAAGGAAGAACAGTCTGGTAACCTGCATTTCTATGCTCTTAAGTGATTTTTTTTTCCATTTGCACCTATAAAACCTAAAACATATTTGGTAAGGTTCATTGGAAGGTAACTGATGTTTCTGATAAACCTCAAGTACCATTCTAAACTGGGAAAGACTAATTGTTTTGTGTTTCTGTTTGACAGAATGCAAAGTCTGGCGAAATCCTTTAAATCTATTCAGAGGAGCAGAATATAATCGGTAAGTGCTATGATGTTACAGTTTCAGGCATAGTTCTCTGTTAAGGACCTTAATTGTACTTTTCCATTAATCTAACTCAGAAATGGAAAACTGGAACGAATTGTGGGCACATGTGCTCATGCCAGGTTCTTCTGTCATATGTAAAATGTTTCTGAAAGCAAAGGAATTTAAATCCTTTCTCATACACTTGTTGTTTCTGCAATTTTTGGTGATCTTATAAAAAAAATTGAAAACTAAGTGTAGTGTAGGTGGTACCATCGAGAAAGAAATTCTGTTCAAATCAGTTATAGCAAATAACCTAATGAATTATTGTCTAGGTTTCATGTTGTCTTTAGGTTTGGATATGTATGCTGCTTATTTCCAGCTTATACTTTCCAACGCTGATTCAACTGCTGTTACTCCATCACAGAACAGTGAAATGCAATGCATGTTGGTTAGGAGATTGGCTGGGTCACCTTAGTAGGCTATGCCAATCTCTTAACACCTAGGATTCTTTTCTAGATTCATTTTGCCAAATGTTACCTCACTAACCAAAATGTTTCTTCGCTGGCATGTTTGCAGGTATACATGGGTAACAGGGAGAGAACCTCTGACTTACTACGATATGAATCTTTCAGCACAGGACCATCAGACATTCTTTACATGTGACACGGATCATTTACGGCCTGCAGACGCTAGTAAGAGACCTTGTGAACAACTGTTTTTGCTAGGTTAATGATTGTTTTAAACTGATGCAAGAAAAATATAGTCAGACATCAGTTGTCTCAGATAGATTAGGAAAGGCAGAAGTTGGATCATGCCTGGAAAGCTGCTGCTGTTGGAGTCATAGTATTCTAGATCTGAACAGGTATATATTTAAGTATAAACAAGGTAATTTGTGTCACTATTTTGTTCTGCTTTCTTGCTGAAGTAATTCAAGGTACTGTCTGCAAATATAAAGACTTATTTTTTCCTCCTGCTTCTTGCAGTTGCTTCAATCATGTATAGCTTAATTTGCTTCCGACTGCAGTTTAGTATGCTGATTTACATTATCCATGTCCCATTTAGTCTATGCTGACAGAAGAGAGCTTATGTAAAACTTTGAGTCCTCTGTTTCATTCCTTGATGTAGTTAGAAGCTCTGTAAAAAAATGGAAACAACACATTTACAGCTGAAAGTGATCTAAGCAGCTTTGTTGTTGTAAAAAGTTGTATTAAGTCTTTACTGTTAAGTCCAATCATGAGAATTTGCCTCTGAAGAGACAAATCATCTTTGTCTCTTGGGAAAGGAGATACTGCCAGTTGGGTGCTCCACTCTGAGGACACAATTCTAAAGGAGAACATAATGTGCTTTTTAGACACACAATAAACATGAATCCTATTTTCTGAGCTCAGTCAGCTAATTATGAGGTGGTCTGATGAGCCCAGATGTTGTTTCCATATAACATTCACATAAAGCAACAGCACAGTAAGGACCTAGGAGAAGCATCTCAACTGTCCTTACATTCTTTTGTGCCATGTGGAATCTACTTTCCCAAGAGGAAAAGCTGCTTATAACCTCTGTATGTGACAATGCAGATGACACGGTCTTTTAGCTAGATTTTCCCATGGAAAAAAGTTTTAATTAAATAATAAAACTGAGTATTTGGAACACAAGCTCATGTTGATTATGTATCTTCTGGGCAATTGCTGAGCTCTTTGGAATGCTCTGGAGTGAGTCAGGCTGAGAATAAATTCTGTTATTACAATGCAGTAGATTTTCCTTGTTAATGCTGTAATGACTGATATGGCCTTGTCCTGCTTGGTTTTTTATTGAATAGTAATGCAAAAAGCCTGGAGAGAGAGAAACCCCCAAGCCCGAATTTCTGCAGCACATGAAGCTTTGGAATTGAATGAGTGAGTGACAACAACATTAACATGTATTTTCTGTCATTTAAAAATCCATTTGATGATAGCTAAAGGCAGGGGATTTGCTACAGTATTTTTTAACCATGATTACAGGCCTGTCACAGGAAGTCCTACAGTGGGAGGAAAAAACAACAGCTGTGTGTTGTGCTATTCACCCATAAGATCCTTAGGACAACGATGACAATGGGAGTCTTCCCACTGGGCTTTGGAACAGCATAGCAAAGTGTTAATTAAGTTGCCTCCTGATGAGCATGTAAAATACGCATTTATGGGATGGAGAGTTCCCTTTTGGCTTTCTCAGTCACCCTGAACAGAGGCAAGAAAGAAGGGACTCATAAACACCTTCTGAAATACTCATTTCAGTGTGAGACAATATGATGTAATTTTCTGGGACTTGTGGTCTTTGAGTTCGTTATGTATTTTCTCAGTGAGAAGTGTAGTATTCTGAGATCCCAAAATATGTTAAATGCTGTGATGCTTTATTGGCATGGCAAACTGTATAAATGTTGCCAAAGTGCATGAAGTGGAGAGAGTTTCTTAGGTTGCTGTCAGAGATTACTGCATTCTAGAGTTCCATAAGCTGGTGCCTTATGGATTGTTCTTCATGTGTTTCATCAGAAGCAGAAAACAGTTTGTTAAACAGCAGTTTAATTGAGTCTGTAGCATAAAAGGGTTTTGAGGAAGTGAGCTATAAACTTGTCATGTTCTGCTCACATATCACAGAATCACAGAGTGACTGAGGTTGGCAGGGACCTCTGGTTCAACTCCCCTGCTCAAGCAGGACCACCTGCAGCACATTGCATGGGACTGTATTCGGATATTTCCAAGGAGGGGGACTCCACAACCTCTCTGGACAATCTGTGCCAGTGGTCAGTCACCCTCAGTAAAAAAGTGTTTCCTTACGTTCGAACAGAGCCTCCTGTGATTCAGGTTACGCCCATTGCCTCTGGTCCTATCACTGGGCACCACTAGAAGGAGCCTGGTTCCATTCTCTTAGTGCCCTCCCTTCAGATACCTATAACATTCATGAAATCCCCCTGAGCCTTTGGTTCTCCAGGCTGAACAGTCTCAGCTCTCGCAATCCATCCTTATGTGTGAGATGATCCAGTCCCTCAATTATCTTCCTGGCCCTTTGCTGGACTCTCTCGAATATGTCTGTGTCCCTCTTGTACTGGGGAGCCCAGAATTGGAACACTGTCCTCCAGTTGTAGCCTCACCAGTGCTGAGTAAGGTGAAAGATCACCTCCCTCAGCTTGCTGGCAGCACTCCTCCTAATGCAGCTCAGGATGCCATTATCCTTCTTTGTGGCGAGAGCACATTGTAATCTCACATTAAACTTGGTGTACACCAGAACCCTCAAGTCCTTTTCTGCCAAGCTGCTTTCTAGCTGGATTGCCCACAGCAAGTCCACCTGTGGACTCTTGTTTTCCCCCAGACCCATTCTTTCCCTTTCCTCAGCTGTTGACTGCGAAATGCAACTAGAGGTAGCTACAGCCCAATTCTGTTTCTGTTTAAGGAAGTACCTTGTCAGCAGTGTGCTTTGTTTTGGAAAGATGTCAACCATCTAACTTCAGCTGCTAAAAATGTGACCCATCAAGTTTAAAGTGCTTGTCTGGGCACCCTCTTTAATCAAGGAGAGAGGCACCTCCATTCAGCAGTTCACCCTGTTCTTAGATGTTAAACAAGTGCAAGAACAGCTTTGTGAAGATGCTCCTTGATGGAGATGGCAGGGCACAGGTAGTTTAGAGATGTAAATTAGACAACTAAAAGCTGGATGAGGGAACATACACCTTTCTCTGTGTTCCTAAAGCTGCTTTCCTGTTTTTGGGGGATTTGGAGTTTTTTGTTTGTGTGGGTTTTTTTAATATCTATAATTACATTCTGACTCAGTTTGACAACAATGCTCTCAATCCCCTCCCAGGTGGGGAAGGAGAGAGAGAATTAGAAGAGAGATGCTCTGGATTGAAAACTAAACTGCACAGTTTTAATTAAACACCAATGATAAAAGAAAATGCATACAATTATATACAAATATGTTCAGGGAATGTGCAAAAGCCTCTTGCCTCCCCCCACCCCCAGCAACTTCCACAGCACTCTCCTTAGATGCAAACAGTACTGAAAAATCCTGGACTTCTGCTGGAGAAAGCACAGAGTGATGAGGGTCAGGAGAGCTCGAGCCCAGGGATTGACAGTGATGGATGGACGGAGTCCTCCCTGGACCCGGCCAAGGATGTAAGAGAAGGGAAGAAGAAGCAGGAAAGAAGTTGGCTTCTGTGATCTCTGACCTTCCTCTGAGCTTATGTAGATACATGGAATGGAATATCTCTGGCCAATTTTGCTGTCTGTCCAACTCAGACTCCTATGGGGAGTCCCCCATAGATCTCCCCATAGCGTCTGAGCCAGCAGAGTAAAAATGTGACCTTGAAGACCCAGCAGTTACAAAAACATCCCACCGTTATCAGTCTTAGTTGGAACGCTCTGGTACTAGTTAAAAGAAAGCTTACTGAAGGGAAAGAAAGGAAAATTGGCTTCATCCTGGCTCAAACCAGGACACATTCATAATATATTCTTGGCATGTGGCAAGTGTCATGGGTCTGTTGATTCTTTCCACACCATTAAAGTCATGGAGACATTTCATGTTAAAACAATGGTACATAAAATTAGTCTTGGTTTCCAAGAGTCTTAGTGATGTAGGCCAAGACTGCATAGTGCTTTATTTTCTGAGGCAGTTGTCAGTAGGCTGACTGAAGTAGATGAGTGATACAGTACCTACAAGTGGAAGTCATGATCTGGTTGCCAGAATAAGTTGTTCATCAAAACAGTTAATCCAAAAGGTATATGAACATAACTCCATTGACTCAGTATTTGGTACAAACTTGCCAGACTGCATTTTTTTGTATAGCTTTTACTTCATGCAACTTTCTCATGGTTTCTCCTCTGGTATTTTTGCAGGTGTGCTACTGCTTATATTCTCTTGGCTGAAGAGGAAGCAACAACAATTGTAGAAGCAGAGAAGCTGTTTAAGCAAGCTTTGAAAGCTGGAGAGGGCTGTTACAGGCGCAGTCAGCAGTTACAGCACCATGGTGCACAGTATGAAGCCCAACACAGTAAGTTTCTTTGCAAGGAACAGTGGTTTCTAAATGGACAGAAGTTCCAGGGAGTTTTTTGGGTTTTGTTTGTTGTTGTTCTTTTTCTTCTCAGGATTACGTACTTGGTATTTAACATTGACCCTAGAGCCAGACTATTCTGTTTCAGTGGTTTTGCTTGATCCTGCTGCTGAGCTAGCTAGCAGTGCTGAGACTACAGATGTGTCTTTTCTTTGTCATGGCAGAAAATATGTAGCATGTCTTTAACAGAAAAGAAAAGGTAGCAGAGACAAAAGAAGTATGATATTCAGAAAATGCTGGATGCTGTTTTAGGAAGTTGCAATGAAATGCCTTTAGCCATTTTAAAAACTAGGGGTCATGTTGTGAAAAGGCAGTAAAGAGTGATGGAAACAGGAGGGAAGTGCTGCTTTGCCACCTTTTTCCATCAGCTGTAAAGATAAATACGTGCACCACATTGTTCTGTGTAAAAGTTAATGAGACCCATTAGCCAGTGTGACATTTGAGAAGTTAGTAGCATACAACAAAAAAGGTCATAGAAACATAAAAATTAACAACTGGAATAATACAGTGCTTTAACTGGAAGTGTAGATTTTTATTCTTTTTCTAAAAGTTTTGGATAAGTAAATATAGGTGCTATGATGATATTTATTGGATGATCCTTAAACCTAAGAAAACACATGAGGGTTCACTGCCAGTAAATGAACAAAAAGATAAATAAAGTGAATGGTCTAGGTTTTTTCTAGTCTAGAATGGCTACCTCAGGCAAAAAATAATACCAATTCATTACATAAGTACAAGCACCAACATACTTTGGACATCTTTGTGTTTCTTAGGACCTGAATTCACAGCCTCTGGCTATCTCACATAATTTGAAGATTGCTGATAAAAATTGTACACAGTGAAATTGTCTGTGATCTCTGGTTTCAAAATTGTACACAAGTCTGTACCTGAAAACCTTAGGTTTTATAAAGCTTGGGAGTAGTATTTTCAGTGTTTGTTTGTTATAAAATGATATTTAGGATTATTTGTTTATTTTTGGAAAAAGTAAAAATATAGAGCATCTGAGCCCTTTAAGTAATTTTCAGGCTCTAGCAGGCTTATGGTTACCTGTGAAATCTTAATTTGTTTGCTCAATCCATCCTACGCACAAAAACTGAGATCAATTATATTAAAAGTACACAATACGAGTAATTAACTGTCACGATGCTTATCTCCAAGATGATCTCCAAGTTTGTGCAGGCAAATATTTCCTTCTCAAAAGACTGAAAAGGAGCTTGGCCTGAAATATTTACCTCTTAGTTATACAACATAAACATGCTGAAGCAGATGTAACTAATAAATTGTTTATTAAATATATAGGTATCGGTACAGATACAAGGAATTACATAATAAAAAATACAGCTAAAGAAACCTGCTGTTTAATTTATCTGAAAATTGTAATCACACTTTAAAACAATTTGTAGGTACTTGGAACATTTTCAGTGCACATCTTTTTCTTATTATGAAAGACTTGAGAATGTTAGGAACAGACTAAAACCTTTACAGACAGCAAACTATACACAAAGATAATTTGTAGCAGGTGTCTTATATTTTGACAATGCAGTAATTTTTTAGATGATTAGCTGTCCACACATTTCCTCTTGGTCCAGGAGCATGTTAAAAGTTTACATTGGAATTATAGGGAAGATTATGAGAAGTGAAGAGAGTAACAACCCTCCAAGAGGATAATTATTGCAGCCGTTTAGTTTTTATAATCTTTGCTGTTAGGGCATCTTCCACCACATAGATCAGTCATATCTGAAACATCTTCATTTGCCATCCATAATTAGCAGTGTGAGGAATTTGAAGATCACAGAATCACAGAATAGTCATGGTTGGAAAGGACCTCTGAGATTGCTGAGTCCAACCGTAAAAACCAAAACAAAACACCACACACCCAAAAAAACCCCCACAACGCAAAACCTGCAACCTCAGCCACTAGAGCATGCTTGGAAATTCCTCATCTGTAGGTTTCTTGAATACCTCTAAGGATGGTGACTCCACCACCTCCGTGGGCAGGTTGTTCCAGTGCTTGACCACTCTTGCAGCATAGAAATTCTTCCTAATATCCAATCTAAACCTCCCCTGCTGCAACCTCAGGTCATTTCTTCTGGTCCTGTCATTATTCACTTGGAAGAAGAGACCAACACCCACCTCGCCACAACCTCCTTTCAGGTAGTTGTAGAGGGCATTGAGGTCTCCCCTCAGCCTCTTCTTCTCCAAGCTAAACATCCCTAGTTCCCTCAGCCACTCCTCATATGACTTGTTCTCTAGACCCTTCACCAGCTTGGTAGCTCTTCTCTGGACACACTCCAACATCTCAGTGTCCTTCATGTAGTGAGAGGCTCAGGACTGCACACAGTACTCAAGGTGAGGCCTCACCAGTGCTGAGTACAGGGACATGATCACCTCCCTGCTTCTGCTAGCCATGCTGTTCCTGATGCAGGCCAGGATGCCATTGGCCTTCTTGGCCGCCTGGGCATGCTGCTGGCTCATGTTCATTCAGCTGTTACCCAGCACCCCCGGGTCCTTTTTTTGCTGGGCAGCTCTCCAGCTATTCTTTCCCAAGCCTGTAGCATTGCCTGGGGTTGTTGTGACTGAAATGCAGGACCGGGCACTTGGCCTTATTGAACCTCTTGCAATTGGCCTTGGCCCATTAATCCAGTCTGTCCAGGTCCCTCTGTAGAGCCTTCCTACCCTCAAGCAGATTGACACTCTCATGCAGTTTGGTGTTGTCTGCCAGCTTACTGCGGGTGCACTCAATCCCCTAATTCAGATCATTGATAAAGATGTTGAACAAGACCAGGCCCAAAACTGAGCCCTGAGGGACACCACTGGTGACAGCCCACCAACTAGATTTGACCCCATTTGCCACAACTCTCAGGGCCCAACCATCCAGCCAGTTTTTTACCCAATGAGGAGTACACTTGCCTGTGTTGTGATTCACCAGCTTCTGCAGGAGAATACTGTGGGAAACAGTGTCAAAGGCCTTACCAAAATCCAGGTAGACAACGTCCACAGCCTTCCCCTCATCCAAAAGTGGGTCACAGGGTCATAGAAAGAGATCAGGTTGGTCAAACAAGGCGTCCCTTTCATAAACCCATGCTGGCTGGCCTTAATCCGCTGACTGTCCTGTGCTTGCCAGATGATAATTGGGTAACAAGTAAAGGAACAGGAAGTTCAGGGTATACTTATTTTCTTCTAATCAGGTATGTTTTCCTATTTTGCATCTATATTGCATCAATTAACAAGATGTACATCACAACTTGCAAAAAAAGCAGGATATAACGTGCATTTTCATGGATGCTCTTGTCTTAACTATGTATGTGAATTGGTAATTTATTGCTGTGTGTGTTATCACAGAGTTTTGTGCCAGTGTTAACTTCATAGGGGTTCTCTTTGCCTCACTTGTTCACTTATACTCTGTACACTGCAGCGTCCTCTGTGCCTCAGAGCTGCGTATATTGAATAGGTGTAAGGCCAACCCATAGCTCCTTATTTATACCACTTTACAAATGATTTCAGTGACGTTACACCACATCTAAATCAGCAGAATTTGGCAGTTTTTAAATTTAGGTTATAGTGAAAGCATTGGTGATAGTGAGTAACAAAAAATGGCAAGACAACTATGTTTTCTTTTGTGTTGGAATATTAAATGAATGCTTGTTTTAACCTTTTATCTTAATGCTGTTTCTTTCTCCTCTTGTACAGGAAGGGACACCAATGTATTAGTCTATATCAAGAGGAGGCTGGCAATGTGTGCAAGAAAGCTGGGAAGGACCAGGGAAGCAGTGAAAATGATGAGAGATGTGAGTTTGGATTTTTTTCACACATGATACTTAGATAACAGTAGCATAGAAATTATATTCATTTGCTTACAAGTTAGCATCTATTCCAGCTGCATGTAACACTGCTAGTAGTAATTTTGTATGTGTACTGTACCTAAAGATTAAGTTAAGAGGTCATTTATAAGGTTGTGAAAACAACACTATGAAGTCGTAGAACACCAGATGGATGGTTGCCCAGACAGACCGAATTTCCCATCCTGGCACATGTGCAATGATTTGATCATGAAGTTACATTTTTTCTGAAGCATGTAATGGATGCCACTATCTCAATAAATGGGTCTTAAGTATTTTGTTTCCTCCTTACAAAGCTGCAGTTTGGCTCTGTGCACTGTTTACATTACCCTATTCAGAGCTGAGGACAGTCTTATTTATTAACGAAAAACCTATTACTGAGAAGTCAAAACCAAGTAATTAATCTAAAATGAACTGATTTCCTCTGACTTGTGAGATTATTATATCCCTGCTTTGTAGGTAGGGAAGCTACCAAAGGTAGTCCTAAGTCAGTAAGCTACAAAATACAAATTTGAAACACCAAACAGTAGCAATTTTGGGAATGACAGGAGGGGGAGCTTTCCGCATAAGGTGCTGTATATGTTTCAAGTATGTAAAATGCTTAAGTTTAGAGATAGCTACAGATGCCCAGTTTGATCCCCTGGATGCAGATTAGGAACACAATTTTTTGAGGAGATGACTTACCTCTCCTGAGGTAGCAAGCATGTGACATAAGGAGGAATGTAGCCCTGGAGTTCTGGACAGGCAATAGTGAAATTGCTTGTTAATTTCCTATATTCTCCTTTCTTACACTTCATTTTCCATTTCCCATAAAAGTGAGGTGAAGGTGAATCTGGCAAGATGTACAGTTCTGCAAGTTAAGCTGAAGGAGCTAAATTTTAGATGCACAAAATGGAATCTCAGGCCAGAATGAAGCATGTGTAGAGTATGCTTAAGGCAGCTCAGATGCATGGTCAGTGGGAGTTTCAACATAAAAAGGCAAGTGACTTTCTCTGGAGCTTAGGCGCTTGCATCAACAGCAGTAGGGCAAGTACATCTGCCAGCTTGGAACCCAGCATCTTTTGCTAGAACTGGAGCACTCAAGAATATTTTATGAAAACATTGAGCAGAATTCATCGTAATAATGCAGGTCCTCATCCTTAAAAAATCTAACAGATGGCAAGTGGTGAGTAACTTCAATTCCTTTGTCTAGCTGGGGTTTGTCAGACATACAACTCTCTCTCCCCTGAATCACTAGGCTCGCAGACAGAGGTGTTGAAAAAGAACTTGTCAAAAACCTAGCCATTGTACAGCTTGGAGTGTGAGAGAGAGAGATGAGGAAGAAAGACCTGGTTTTGCAGTCTTGTGGTCAGCTGGGAGAATCTTGATTTCAAAAACATTGGTTTCAGGCCAGTCAGCTCCACTGATTCTTCATGAATTTTGTTACACAGGCGCTCTGGGACAGATACTGAAAAGTTTGCAGACAAATGCTGGAATTCTAAGTTCTAGCATTAATATACAAGAAAGACAGAATTTTGAATTTCATGTTCAAATGTCACACACATCATAATAATCATGGTAGCTTCTGAAGCTTAGTATGGGCTGCTGAATATGTTCTGTGATTTGTAGATAGAGCTGTGTGAAACAGATACTCTCTGAATCTGCTGATGTATGGTTAATTGTGTATGCAGAGCATTGGATTCAAGGACTTGGGTGGTCCATCTAGTCCTAGATTTCCTATGCAAAATGAGATCCAGAATGCTTTGATTATAACAAATGGCTTATTCTGTCACTAGAGAGAATATTGTGTGTTGTTGAAGTTAAGTACAATGTGAATCTCAAAAGACAACAATGACAGGGAGACCCAAAGTCATTGTTAGGCACTTGAAGGATGAAAAATGCTCTCCTCAATAGGAACATTTTGGTAAAATGAGAGGACTGGATGCAAGACAAAGGATGGATAAATATAGAATTTCAGCTTCTAGAGCTTCAACTCAGATCAATCCAGTATGTATTTTTCTATATACAGACACTGAACCGAATCCTAAGCACTGAATTTACATGCCTCTAGAGCTCTTTGTGATGAGCAAGCAGTGCTGAGAATTAGCAGGTCCCTTGATGAAATATAAAAGCAGCAGTATCTCCAGGTCACAACTCCGGTACCCTGGGAGCGAGAGGAGGGTCAAGTCAGCTTTGCAGATGCTTTTCTTAGACTGACTCGGAGCTACTTATTTCTGATGAATACATATCCTCCGTTTCTTCATAGAAGACATAAATAATATACTTATAAAGAAGGCTGAAGAACATGGATGTGTCATTGAAGGTTTCTATGTGATTGATGAGGGAGGAGATTTATTTATTTACCCTAAAAAAAAGATGAAGAATATGTTGGCTGGGGACTGCTGAATCTAGCATCAGGGGACAGAGGGTGGAGGCCCTGTTTGTGTTTCAAGGATTGAAAACAGATTTCTCAAGACATGGAACATGATGGAAATGAAGTGTTAAGAGGTTCATGACACCATCTGGGAAATATGATTGGGATGTAGTGAGTCTTTGCCACTTTGAAAAAATAAAATATTTGAGAGTAGTTAATTCATTGCACATATGAGGCCATCTTGAGGACATTACTGATGGATTAGATTGTCTTACTTGAGTTTTATGTAAGAAAAGACTGAGGTCCTGCTTAAAACACCTTAGCGGAAAGAAAGAGTTGTTGGTGACTTAAAAAAGATTTTGAGTTCATGGTTATTGTAAAGTTTTAACACTAGGCTGACAATTAAACAAATGACAGATGCTCTCTATTAACCCCCCTCTACAGGAAGGGAAAGGGTTAAGAGTAAGAGAGAGAGACTTAGGATTTGGAAACTAAACTATGCTCTTTATTTTCTTTTTCATCATTATTGTTTTCATTAAGGAAATATATACAAAACCACTATCATGCTCCCCCCCAGTAACACTGACATCAGCACTGAGGCTGCAGGGCAGACCCTGGGAAGAATCTTGTACTGGACTCCTGAACATAATGGCAGATGGGGCTGGATGCAGGAACACCCAGATTCAGGAATGCACAGATAGGGATCGGAAACAGAAGAATGGATAGAGTTCTCCCAGGACACCAGCCATGGATGAAGAGAGCTTGACCATGATCCCTCAGATTTATACTGAGTATGACATGTATGGGATGGATACTTTGGTCAATTTTGGGTCACCTGTCCAGTCTGTTTTTCCCTATAAGAGGGTCAGGGGTGTTACCCCTTTTCCTCTCATTCGTTTCCAGAGCATGAGAAGTTTAGCAGAACAAAGCAATGACCATGGTTTCTATAGGAATAAGTATAAGCAAGAGCCTTTCTGCATACCATTCTCCAGGAACAACTATAAACATCTAGAGTTATTAGTCCTAGAAGCAGACACTGACTGAAAACCATGCTGTTAATTTCAGCAAGTGCAGTCACTTAGAAGCGAATTCTCTGAAAAGTAAAATTACTAGAAATAAAATTGGTTCTGTCCTGGGGCAAACCAGGAGCGTTTTATACTTCTGATATGAAAATATTATTTTAAAATATTCTATTGAAGATACTTAACCCATTTTTTAAAAACTGTTTAAATGTTTAAAATCAGGGTTGTTTTAATTTAAAAAATTGGGTAGGAATTTTTGTTGCTTCTGTGATTCATTTTGTGATAGTATTTTGTTACTGGCTTTGCTGCTTGGATGCCATTCATTTAGCTGAGTTGAATTAATAAGTCTTATGAACCTGTAGTTTTCATGGGAGCGTGTAATTGAATCATACATAGGTATTGCTTTTGCTTGTGTTTCTGATGATAATTATTTACTATATTTGCTATAGAAACCAGCAGCTGTCACTATTTGTATATATTCAGTTAACTTATGATTTCATTTTGATTAGTGTATTGTTGGAATAATTCCAGTCTAGTCAACAGAGTTATTCCAGTTTTATTCCTTTTTATACAGAGCATGATATGGTCTGTGAGGGAACTGTCCCTGAGGAGAAAGTTGACAGTGCTGGTTGTTTTATTTGTTGAGCTCATTGTGTTAGACGTATTTAAAATAGTGTGATCTAAATTATGTTGGAAAATTTGGTATGTACAGAGGTGAAAGTCCTTAATCATGGCTGTGGGGGATCTTTAGTATTCCTTTGTGTTGAATCTTAATTGTGGACAGTGTTGCAAGCTAAGTAGCTACAAGCCGATGAGCAAGGATACGCTTTTGTACCAGCTGCTCTTTGTCTGTTCTTTATTGATTCCCTCACCTTTCCAATAGAAGAAAATAGACATGTATTTGGTTTGTGTTTGATGTTCTTCATTGATTAAAAAAGAAAGGATGTGGAGGGTATAGAAGGGCACTTCTCTCTGTACTTTCTGAGCAACTGAAACAGTGACAGGCTATGTTACTGAATTCAGGAGCACACCATCATAGTTTATCCCTTGACTGGAATCATAGAATCACTGGAGTATCCAGGTGAAAATGTAGCATGCAAGAAAGTGAGTTGTCAAATAAATTTCAGCTTCTTGGGATTGTTCTGGAGAGTGTTTGGACTGTGGATAAAGCTTTCACTGAAGGGTAATGTATCTATGAAAGGGAAGAGTGGCAGGTAGAAGGCATGCTAGTGGACAAAGTGAACAGAAGCTCTTAATCACTTCCTTTTTCAGAGACAAGATGAAAGAAACTCATTTTAGAGTGTCTTTTTCTCTAACCCTGTGGCCCTGTGCTCCCCTGAAGACTTCTATGTAGTCTGAACAAGTATACATTTCTGAGACACAGTGGAATTGTAGCTTGCCCTAAGCTTTGCTGCTTTGTTTACAAACAAGTGAGGGAGGTTTAGGGAGAGAAGAAACTCTCTGGGTCTTTCCTTGGGTCTGGAGAAGGATGGAAACGAAAACACCTTTTAAGAGTCAGAATAGTACATTTAATTTCTTGGATCAGTTATATCTGCAGATAAATTACTCTTCAG